CCCTCCCGCCCCCCACCACCACCAGTTTCACAACCGCCACCTCCCCTACCGCCCACCCATTCCTCTCCGCCGCCGCCGCCGGCACGCTCCCCAAACCCCGCCTGGCCGCCTGGCTGGCCCAAGACCGCCTCTACATCCACGCCTACATCCGCTTCATCGGGGCGCTGCTCGCCAAGCTCCAGCTCCCTGTGCCTGTGCCTGTGCCTGTGCCTCACGCAACCCAAACCAACCCCAACAACACCGACCAAATCGAAACCCAAACCCTTGAAACCCAAACCCTGCACACCCTCACGGCAGCCCTGACCAACATCGTCCGCGAACTCGACTTCTTCGTCGCCGTCGCCGACGAATACGCCCTCGATCTGAACACGCCGTTCCAGGTCCCCCAACCCGAACCGGGGGAAGCACCAGCACCAGCACCAGCACCAGCCGCCAGCGCCTTCACCGCCTCGCCCATAACAACCGCGTACACGGATCTCTTTATCTCGGCGGGATCGGCGGGGACGTCCTTGCTGGAGGGGTTGGTCGTGCTCTGGGCGACGGAGGTGTGTTATCTGACCGTGTGGCGGAATGTGCGGGCGGCGATGCCACGGGCAAAGAACGGGGGGGGGGGATGCGGATGGGGGTGCGTTGCGCGAGAAGTTGATTCCCAATTGGACGTGTGCCGAGTTCGAGGAGTTCGTGGAGGGGATTACGTGCTTGGTTGATAAAGTGGCGGAGCGCGAGGTGCAGCGGAGTTCGGCGGGCCCGGAGAAGGCGTGGGAGGAGGTGGTCGAGCGGTGTGCGCGGTGGTGGAGGCAGGTGGTTTGGCTGGAGGGGCAGTTTTGGCCGGAGGTTTAGATTCGAGGGCGGGGTGGTTCTCGGGGGCTTGTTGATGTGTACAGTAGCTTCTAGGGGTATTATGTATGCATTCATGCATGCATGTTTGTGATGGACAGGGTTGACTTGTAAATAGGTATGAGCAGATATGAATGAGCATCAAAAGCAATTGGAGTATATATACATGTACAGTATACAACCTTAGTGGCTAACAAGACACCAGAAGGACGACATCAAATCATTAGCAATATCTACAATTACATCAATACATACAGCCATGGTCCCATAATCCCTCCCGATCTTCGTCGTGGATGCCTTTCTGGCAAATGAATAACAAAAGCAAAGCAAACAAGCCATTCCTCCTCACGACGTCGCTGCACTTGTACGCGCCGCATTACTCAGCTGGCGATGATATGATCCGATCGTTTGGAAGCCTCTGCAAGCTGCGGTTAGTTTCTGCCATTGAACCTATGACGTTAAAAATAATTGCCTACCTCGCCAAATCAAACCCGCTCTCGTCCTCCTCCTCTTCTCCCGCTCCAGGGGCAGGACGACGACCACCCTGTGGCTCAGGCTCTCGCCGTGGTGGCGGCAACACACGACCGGTAGCCATACCTGTTGTTCCTGGTTTACTAGGACTTGCGAGGTTGGGGGGTGGCGGACTGCTGCTCGGGATACTGCCTAGGACATCCCCGGGGTCTCCCTTGAGCGGACTCATGTCAGGTACCGGTCGCGCCGGCGTGCTGCCAATATCCGCAAATTTCCAGAACTGCGCCGGTGAGCTCATTGGCATGAACTTGGATGGTATTTGCGCCGTGCTCGGAGGGGGCAGGCGCGGCTGTTGCCGCTGTGGGGCGGGTGTAATCATTGACGATGGACCGTCATCATAGTACGACGATGACAGTACTGGAGGTGATCCCACGGCCGCGTCCGACAACCCATATGTTCGACTGAGACTGGTCCCATTGCTACCCGCGTTCTTCGTCGCTGACCGGGTTGGGAGCGGCGAAGGCTCTTCATAGTCACGTGTGTTGGGTGGGCGTAAATTGTGCTCCGCTGCTCCATTGCGGCGGGCACGAGATCCTCGTTCGGGAGTGTACGCCTCGACTGGAGCCACTGGGAATGAACTGAAACCGGGGGACGATACTGGTGGGGACTTTTTGCTGTTAAATACGGCCTCCATGCCGTTTGTGGAGCCCCGGCGATCGGGTACTTTGGTTGCAGGTGATGATGGAGCCGACGATTGGGTGCCCTTCCGCAGCTGCTTCTTCCAATACTCCTCGCGGTGCTCAGGTGCAATCTGCCACTTCATTCCCTTGCCCGGCTCGTCTGTGCGTCGCGGCACCTTCTGGAACGCCTTGTTCAGCGACAAATTATGACGGATCGAGTTCTGGAACCGGTTAGCACTGTAGATACCTCCAATTCTGAAGTGAACGCTCACCTGCCAACCGCTCTGAGAATGCCGATAAAAAGCGTACTTGTCCATGATCCAGTTGTAGATATTGTTAAGGGTAAGCTTCTCCTCCTCACTGGAGAAGATGGCCTGGGCGATCAGATTCGCGTAGCTGTACGGCGGCTTGAGGTCCTTGGCCGAGTCTTTGCTATAATCAATCTCTTCCGTGCTCTCCATCATCATACCGCGGTTATACAAAGGGGACTGCTTGGCAGTACGGGCCCCCACTGTGTCGGGCGACCGTGGAGGAGGGGTCACTTGGCGCTTGAGGAATTGCGGTGCGGGTGCCAATGATGGCGGAGCGGGCGCGGTAGTCCCAGCGGTGTTGGTCGATGAGTGAGAAGCATGAGGATGGGCGTGTTGACTGGCATCCCAGGTGGCAGGCTCTTCCTCGCCGTTCGCCAGTCGCTGCGCTCGATCAACGAAGCTGGGGTGGATGGTCGCCTTGTCGCCCGGGGTGACGAACATCATCTGGGTGTTGGCGATCTCGATGATATCGCCGCAAGAGAGAACGGCGTCGGTTCCGCGCTTGAGGATGACGCTGTTGAGGCGCACCCCGTTGCGACCGTTGACACGGATGTGCCACGAGCCCGTGTCCTCACCATCGTAGAAAATCTCCGCGTGCAAGCGCGAGACGAACTTGCTGGGGCCCAGATCGACATTCACCTCCGGAAGAGCGCGCGCGGCAATCGTGACCGGACTCGACTGCTCATCTAGCTTCTGCTCGCGGTCGGGTTCGCGACCGATGTTGACATGGAGGGTCTTTACATAGTAAGTCCAATTGCGACCGGCAATTTTGGCGTAGGCGCGAATGCTCTGCTCTGCCTCCGTCTTCGTATTGGAGTAGTCGCGATGAACTCGAACCTCTTCGCGTGCAGCCTCGAGATATGAGATTACCAGGTCAACGAGGTCTTGATTCTCCGACATGTCCTGGTCATCGTCGGCTTCGTCGGCGGACTCGGGCTTGATCGGGCGCGTTTGTGGGGATACTCGAGAATGTTCGACCTGACCGCAACAGTAGACAGTTAGTCGATGGTTCTTGTCAAGACGTTGATCGTTGTTCAGGGAGCACTCACCTTGCGCTTCTTATTTGACGGTCGCGTCGGCGATGAATCCGGGGCCTCTGCGTCGGATGTCTCTTGTAACTGAATCTCCTTGCGCCGCGCGCGGCGGCGGTTCGATAGAGGCATGGTGCAAAAACAGACGGAGCGATGAAAAGCGGCGCAGGCAGGCGATCGGTTGTGGTGGTGGTTGTTGTTGTTGATGGAGGGGCTCGGAGAAGTTATCGTGGGAAGCGTTGCGGAGCGAGATGAGTTGATGTTATCGTCGGTGGTAGTGTAATCAGTTGTGGTCGTGGTGGAGAAGGGTCGCAAGTGGCCGGGGCAACAATACGAGATTAGGGAAGAGAAAATCGCAGACGTTGAAGAGTGAGAACACCCGTGACGAACAACCGAAAATGAGAACAGTACGGAGTAGGACGAATGGAAACCGGGATGGCAGGTCCAGGGTTGTTGACCCAAGGGTACGGTTTGCCACCGCGCACGAACGAGACGCGATTTGACCGTGAGTCGTGACTAGTGAGAGAGAAGGGAAGAGTAGCGAGTGAGTGAGACGGGACTGGAGGGGGGCTGCGAGAGAGAGTGGCCAGCCACCGTGGGGGGAGTGGAAGTGGGAGGGAAGAGGAGGGGAGGTCGGGTTTGCGCCAAGCACGTTCAATAGGGCTGGGGTGGTGGTGGGAGAGGGAGAAGAAAGGAAGAGATGATGAATCAAAGAAAGGGAGGAGGAGAAGGGGGAGGGAGAGAGGAACAAAAGGAAAGAAGGGAGGAAAGGATCGAGACAAGCAGATTGTATGTGGAAGTAAGTGGTGAAGTGAAGAAGTAGTAGAAGCAGCAGCTAGCAGTAGAAAGTAGTAGTAGTAGTAGTGATGATGGTGATGATGATGACGCTGCGAATGAATCAGCCACAAGGGAATAGGATGGATGAGATGGGAAAGAAACGCTCCCGAGTCAATCCAATTCTAAGCCCGTCAGTCAAATCAATCAGTCAATCAATCAATCATCAATCAAACAGTGCAGTCAATCAATCAGTCAGTCATGTGGGACTGCAACTCAAGGGAATGAAGGGGAATGAACTTGATTGAACCTTGAAAGGTGCCGTCACTGCCAGATTGAGTAGTTTAGTTGCAATCACTAGGAAAAATCCTCGGGATTGCTTGTTCTTCCACCAACACAATTGCAATTGTACTTGCAATGCGAAGATAAGTAAAAGTAAATAGTCAAACAATCTTCCTCCCTTTCACCTTTTCTTTCTTTCTTTCTTGCTCACTCTTCGCTCTCTTCCTTCCTTTCTTCCTTTCTTCCTTTCTCCTCTTAACTTTCTCCCCCCCTTGGTTCCTTCCCCCGGATCCTATTATATACGGTCTACTCCGTAAACAATTTTACTACATCCAAATACGACGCCGTAAACAGACAGTGGATCCCAACAAGCAAGCAGACAAGCAAGCAAAGCAACATCACAAACAGACCATGTTTAATCAAGATGGCCCGCTGTTGACCCTTTGCCGGATGCAGTTTCTGTCCTTGAACCCCCTCTCAATTCTTGCAATTCTTGAAAAGAGCAGTCCGTCAACCAGACAGGGTGCTCTGTGATTATCTATGATGAAACCCACCCAAGTTCTATAAGCTTCCTTTCCCCAAAGTCTACTCCGTACGAGGAGGGCGGACCAGAGTCAGCGAGGCGGACTTGATCGGATGCGCGGGCGGGGTGGAGGGTTGGACCATCCACCAGCATCGTCATCATCAACAATAACATCATCATCATCATCATCTCCTCCTCAGCTTCTACGTACACACAACTTAACTTGCTGCTACCCGCTGGTCTCGACCATCCCCGGATTAGGCAAAGGCCAGTAGTTTACCCTTCAGACTGGTTGCGTCATGGTGTCCGCGTGCAGCTCGTGTGGAATGCGGATCCCCTCTTCAGGCTTCTCCGACAGGTAACATCTTCGTTGCAATCTCTCGCCCTGGATTCCCCTTCCCACTCTTCCTTCTCCTCCCTCCGGATCAAGAGGGAAAATACGACGCTACACAATAATAGGACAACCACTGCGGAAGTCAACAACAAAAACAACATGGTTCCGATCGCATTACTGATCAATGACCGAGTGCATGGATTTCTCCCAAGTAAATACAGGTTCATCATATACACTAAGAATACTTCAACTCATCAGGACCGCCTGCCTACCGAGGCCAATCCGGTTCTCCGACGCATTGGGAATAGCAAACAAGCAGAATCAAACCTAACCCGCAATCGCCCAGAACAAGTCGTTCGTAGCATAGCCGTAAATAAGTAACAGAAAGAGGAAAGTGGGGAGAAGTACCCAAGGTACCCTATAGAAAAAAAAAATCACGAATATGAACCGCCGGTCAAGAGAGGCCCGGAGGAACATCAGAAGATCACCTCAGCCAATCCCAGCCACCGCCCTCAGGGCATCTTGGAATCGCCATCTTCGTCCATTCGTAACGTCGGGTACATCACTGCATCCCCTGCCTCCGACCTCACTCCCGGC